AGCAACTTCCCAACCAAAAGTCATGTAAATCCGCAATGATAAGATAGTCTACCCGGTACTGGAACTTCCCTGCCTAAGGGATATGGGTGTACCCCAAACTGAATAAAAAGATGGCAAGGCCTAAGCACAAGAGGAGTCCATCCTCTTGGGATGGGCTCTCACCTGGCCTCCCAATTTTTAAATTATTATCACTTGTCTAGACTCTTTCATTTGTGTGCAGCCTCTCTTTCAGATCCTGAACCCTGAACCATGAGTGAGTGGTGGAAACACATCACGAATCCTAAGAAACCTGCAACAATCAGATAGAAAGTAACCACCCCTCTGTTCATAGCAGCACAATTTACAATAGCAAAGATCTGGAATGAGCCCAAGTACCCATCAGTAGATGAGTGGATAAAAAACTGTGGTACAATGATACCATGGAATACCATGCAGCATTAAAAATGAAGACTCTCTTATCCTTTCACACAGCATGGGGTGACCTGGAGAGCATCATGCTAAGTGAAATAAGTCAGTCAGAGAAAGACAAGTATCACTTGATATCACTCATATATAGAGTCTATTGAACAAAAAACTGATGAATGGTGTGGATTCAGAGACGGAAGGATAGAAATTACTGCAGAATCTCAGAGGGAAAGTAGGGCAGGGGGTAAAAACAAACATCCTCAGGTAAGGATTAAAAAACCTGTAAACACCCAATAAAAACAAAGTCACCTGAGCTTTGAGAATTTTCTTTTTTCTTTCTTCTGTTCACATTTATTTCATCAGCAACATTCGCTCTTGCCCTCCACAAAAACAATTAGATTATGACTTGTCTCCGATCAACTCAGCTTTTGTCTGAATAACCAAAGATTTCTTCTCAACACTGTTTTTAAACAAGAAGCTATAAATAAATGAAGCTTTCAGTGTTCCTCGATCCAAGTTAAACGCTTCTCAAAGTTCTCAAAGTTCAGGGTTAGGCAGGCGGCCTAGCTACCCCAGGAGGGGTCTGTGCAGGGAGGGAGTGTCCCTCCCGGAGCTGCTCCTTCCTCTCAGCACAGAAGAGGTCTGGGCGGGGCCACCTGTGCCACCAGGAGACCTACCCTTGGCATCAGAGAGGAGTCTGTAGGCAGGAGGACCCTTCCTCCTACAGCAGGCGGCCTGCATGGGACATGCCAGCTTGCAGAACCAGGGGCTTCGGGGGAGCTGCCTGCCCGCACCTCCTCTGGGCACCTCCGCCTGGGCGTTGACCGGGACAGCACTGCTTTTCAGACCCAGCAAAGGAGCCTAGGAGGGACCATGTTTCCATGGGAACGGGCACAGGCCGTGGTTGAAACATTCTCTCGCGTGCAGACAGGTCCTGGCTCAGGTCACCCCCGGAACCGCTGCAGCAGAGCCAGCCGCAGAGAAAAGGGGGTGAGCATCTGCTGGCACCTGAGGTGGGGGCTCTTCTGAATTCTAACCATGTCCCCACCCCGCTTCTGCCATGTTGTCATTTGCTTCCCTTCAAGATCCACTAAGACACCCAGGTGATGGGCTCCAGATTCCCGCCCACTCCTGGAGGGCTCTGGGCTGGACTGGCACAAAGCCCACAGGCCCACTGGCTGCTCTGCTTCTGGACACAAGAGGGAGGGACCAGTGTAGCTTGGAAAAACCACCTCCCATCCTTTCTTATCCTCACTAACATCCACTGGGCTTCCTGGCCCTGCTGGCACCCTCACTCCCTGGGGCAGCAGGGCTGGCGGGACCTTGGGCAGGATCTGCCTGGGAGGCTGCTGCCCTTGCAGGCCGCTCTTGGGAGGACTGTGCCCTGCCTGCTGCCTCTACTATAAATGGGGCGCTGGTCTTCCTCAGTGTGGAGCTCACTCAACTCCCTGGAACCCAGGTTTTGAGCCTCTTTTTGGGAGGACACACTCAATATGGCAGCGGCATGCCTCAGAACATGGCTTTCCATTTTGTGCGGCCAGCCAGCCTTGGGCTAGGTGGGGGCAGGCTATGCTGGCAGTCCAGGCTGGGAGGCTGAGGATGGGTAGCATTTTCTTCTGTTCTCTGAAAGCAAGGGGAAAGCTCTAGCTTGCTGGGTTCTGGGTCCTGGGTCCTCTCTATATTTGTGTTTATAAATCTGTCTTCAGTCAGTTGAGTCCCTGTAAATACTGATACCCCTCCATGTAACCTTCTCCTGCTTCCCATGAGTCAATTGCTTTTGGTGATGTTGTAAGAAATGGCCAAACCCGTGGAGAATTTTTCTCAGTTTATTTGACCCAAGTCGGAGACAGTTGCCAGGAAGTAAAGCAATAACAGGTTGAGTAATGCTTGGGACAATAGCAGTTTTGCACCTTTTTTATTTTTTTATTATTTTTATTTTTTTAATATATTTTATTGATTTTTTTTACAGAGAGGAAAGGAGAGGGATAGAGAGTTAGAAACATCGATGAGAGAGAAACATCAACCAGCTGCCTCCTGCACACCCCCCACTGGGGATGTGCCCGCAACCAAGGCACATGCCCTTGACCGGAATCGAACCCGGGACCCTTCAGTCCACAGGCGGAAGCTCTGTCCACTGAGCCAAACCGGTCAGGACTGCACCTTTTTTATACATTAGACTCTAAGGGGGTGAAATGAAACTAACTGGTGATAAATTAGGTGGGAGAGCTAAGGGGGGAAATCTCTGGGATTGGATAAAAGGAAAAAAAATACAGAAACTTCTTTCTAAGCGTATATTAATTAATTAGTAGTTAATATTTAACCAAAGCACAATAATAATGGAGGCTCTGTGATCTTTTGTGTTGGGAGATTGTGCTCTCAGGAGTCTGTGAAACAGAAATGTCCCTGAATATCAAATCCAATATTATGTTATCCCAGATGCAAAAAGACAACTGACAGACTCACACACAGGCTAGAACATAACTACCCCTGAAAGTCCTTTACTTAGAAAGTTGTAACTTCCAACCATCCTATATGGTTACTTTTGGCCTCTGAGTTTGTAAGATTTACCATGCTGTGCCAGGCTTCGTGAGCTTGCTAGGTTTACTGTGTGCCATCATTTTTGTCCATACTGGGGACTTTAGAACTTGTGGGTTCAGGAGAAAATTCAATGAGTGTTTATTAACTCCGGGACTCACTGCTTCAGTCCTAATGCACACAATGCCACAAATATTGCTGGTGTCCCTTTATTGGGTCTCCTAGAAGGAGTCACTCTTCAAGCAATAACGTATTAGGTTCTAAATGTGGTTGAGGTATTTGTAAAGAAAAAAAGTCTTTTTCTTTGCTGTGGCCTTCCACAATTTATGAGAAGCACCTGCTAATTAAACCCCAAGATTGTTGGCTCCTCTAATTCACACAGCTCCTCTGGTCAAACTGCTTAACAAGATAAGCTACTTTCAAGGCTAAATTTTTACATATCCCTCCTTCCTGCTATTGTCACACCTCAGACATTATTTGCACCAAGGACTCTAGTTAATAGAAGGTTTCCTCCCCTCCACCTCTTCAAACAAGCCTCTTTTGAACTCTTCATAACTTTTTATCTAGTCATATTTTATAGGCTTGGGAAAATACTGATAAGACACCTCCCTATACATCTGCCAGACTGTCTCCTGGAAAGCAAACTGTAATTTTTTTTAAAGACAGCCCCTCATATCTACTCAACTTCAGCAAAGCCACAGGCCCCTGCATTTGTTCTCTATTAGCTAGAGCCATGGTCGGCAAACTGCTGCTCGCAAGCCACGCACGTGTGGCTTTCCCACAAAATACCACATGTTGTCGTGCACATACAGTGCGACTGAAACTTCGTAGCCCAAACACAGAAGTCAGTTTTTTGCACGGCAGAGTCTACTTTGAAGAAGTACTATTGATATTTGGCTGTGTTGACTAGTGATTTTGCTGCCCACTGAGCTAGAGCCAATGATGAAAAGCAGAACCAGCCTTTCTTCCTTACCCTGTATTGACAACCAATACGTGGCCCTTCCTTCTCTTGGGAAGTAAAACAGACTTCCTCTTTTTACAGCTTCTTTTAGCTGTAAATTCTTCCACAGCCTGCATCACCTGCCAAACCTTAACAGTGTTCATTTTTTCTAAGAAGTTAAGTGTGTGAAAATGAGGGAAATGACATCATAGAGGCAAAATAATATTTCCTTCTCTTATAAATTAACCAATAGAGTCAAAAGAACACCCAACAGTAAAGAAGTCCTAGGAAAAAACCTTCATTATTTTGCAAAGAAAGAGACCTGAGACTGGCAGTTCTCCTACTGATGACTTAGGAACTCAATAAATTAATCACTGGCATCTGATGAATGGGAAATTGTGCCCCTGACAATGGCAGTTTTTCTCCAACATTGTGTTTACTGGGGCCAATGGTAATCAGTCCTATGTGGCAACTCATGACAGGGAAACCAGAAAGAACTAAGGGCTCAGGTATTCCTAATTTTCTTCAACAAATGAGACAACAGACTTAGCTTTCCTGGGCACATGAGGATGGTGACTGATGCCATCTGTAGGGAGCTTATAGGTGATTCAGGTGAAATACCTTCAGCAACAGAAATATGCAGTGACATACACATGGAAACACTTTTCCCTATGTTGAAAAGTGCAATATAGACAAATATGGTTCCAACAGAAATACTAACAAACAGAACAAAAAGAGTTGGGGGTTATTACATAATGGAGGTGATGAAATGTATGAGATGTAATTCAGACTGAGATTTCACATATTTTCTTACACAATTGTTAAATTCTAACAGAGAAACGACATGTCCCACACATCTAAAAAAATTTTCACATTTGGACTCTTTTGTGGATTTACAAATTTGGCTGAGAGATATCTTTTGGGGTGCGCTACAGTGTTTTGGAGAGGTTCAAGCCTTGGACTGATGAGAGAGCACAGTTCTCTCATTGCCACGTGCAAGTCACAACTTGGAGGGCAGAGCCTTCCCAGCACAATTATAGTCAATAGGTATAATTGTAAGCTTGAACCTATAGCCCAAACACTTGGCCTCACGTGCCTGAGTGATAGAATTCAGGTGCATGTAGTTGAGTAGGATTGCAACCCACGAGAATGTTGTAAACATCTTGATCACGCCCTTACTTTGCCTCGTGGCATCTGCTATAAAATAAAGACAGGGCTTGTGGGCGTTGGCACTGTCTCTCTCCACCCCAGAGGGCAGCGTCACACGGAGACCCAGCTTTCATTCTATTGTCTGTCTTTTCTTAATCCTTCCATCGCCTCCACTCAGGTTCACTGACCCAGGCTGAGATGGCATGGCACATAAGGCGCCCTGGGACTGAGTATGCCATGGCCGTGCCAGCTCCCCACAATATCTCACATTAAATGCACTCATAATGGCTTTCTCCAGTATGAACTCTCTGATGATGCTGAAGACTATCGCTACTTGGAAAAGATTTCCCACATTCACTGCATTTATAAGGCTTTTCTCCTGTGTGAACTTTCTGATGCCTGTGGAACTGGGAATTAGTGATAAAAGATTTCCCACATTCACTGCATTTATAAGGCCTTTCTCCAGTGTGAACTCTCCGATGATTATGAAAGACTGAGTTACTTGTAAAAGATTTTCCACATTCATTGCATTTATAAGGTTTTTCTCCAGTGTGTAACCTCTGATGATATTGAAGACCACAGCTTCCTTTAAAAGATTTCCCACATATACTGCATTTATAAGGCTTTTCTCCTGTGTGAACTTTCTGATGCCTGTGGAAGTGGGAATTAGTGATAAAAGATTTCCCACATTCACTGCATTTATAAGGCCTTTCTCCAGTGTGAACTCTCCGATGATATTGGAGACCAGGGTGACGGGAAAAAGATTTCCCACATTCACTGCATTTATAAGGCCTTTCTCCAGTGTGAACTCTCTGATGATATTGGAGACCAGGGCGATGGGAAAAAGATTTTCCACATTCACTGCATTTATAAGGCTTTTCTCCAGTAGGAACTCTCTGATGACTACGCAGGTGGGTCTTAGTGATAAAAGATTTCCCACATTCCCTGAATTTATAAGGCTCTTCTCCAGTGTGAGTTATCTGATGATGTTGTAGTGACGCCCTAGCAGTAAATGATTTTCCACAGTCACTGCATTTATAAGGTTTCTCTACAGTGTGAACTCTCCTATGATATTGGAGACCACTGGAAAATGTAAAATTTTTTCCACATTCATTGCATTGATAAGGCGTTTCACCAGTGTGAATTCTCTGATGTCTACGAAGGATGGGGTTAGTGGTAAAAGCTTTCCCACATTCATTGCACTGATAAGGTTTTTCTCCTCTGTGAACTCTCTGATGATATTGGAGACCACTGGGACTTGTAAAAGTTTTTCCACATTCATTGCATTGATAAGGATTTTCTCCTGTGTGAACTTTCTCATGATATTGGAGACCATTGGGACCTGTAAAAGTTTTTCCACATTCACTACATTGATAAGGCTTTTCTCCTGTATGCACGACCTGATGACTACGAAGCTGGGCCTTAATGATAAAAGATTTCCCACATTCAATGCATTTAAAAGGCTTTTCTCCAGTGTGAACGTTCCGATGATACTTGAGACCCTGGATACTTTTAAAAGATTTCCCACATTCCTTGCATTTGTAAGGCTCTTCTCCAGTGTGAATTCTCTGATGACATTGTAGGGTATCCCTAGCAGTAAAAGATTTTCCACAGTCACTGCATTTATAAGGTTTTTCTCCACTGTGCAGTCTCTGATGATATTGGAAACCCTTGGTATTTGGAAAAGTTTTTCCACACTCCCTGCATTGATAAGGCTTTTCTCCTGTGTGAATTTTCTGATGTCTGTGAAGGTCAGAGTTATTTGTAAAAGATTTTCCACATTCAGTGCATTTATAAGGTTTCTCTCCAGTGTGAACTCTCTCATGACATTTGAGACCAGTATAAGCTGTAAAAGTTTTTCCACAATCACTGCATTGATAAGGCTTTTCGCCAGTGTGAAGTCTCTGATGTCTACGAAGGTTAGTGGTATTGGTAAAAGTTTTTCCACATTCATTGCATTGATAAGGTTTTTCTCCTGTGTGAACTCTCTGGTGATAACTAAGGTGAGATTTACTTGTGAAATTGCAGCTGTTTGCAAGTGAGATCCTGTCCACACCTCTAATGGAAATCTCTCTCACATGCTGCTGGTGAAATTTTACACTGAAATAAAACTTTTTTGCACATGCCCCACACCTCAACAGCATCTGTGGATATTGTGTTGCCTGCAGCTCCATCACGTGGAAAACGTTTCCCAAGACTATTCCACAACTCTCACAGGGGTGCCTCTTCTGGGAAGACAAGGCTACCTTGGGATTTCTTGCCTGTGACACTCTAACACAAACGTTCTGCTCGGTCGGTGCCTCCACATTCTCTGCTCCACAGCAGCAACCTATATAAAAGTAAATACTGGTGAGGTACATGTTGACCTTATGAAAATAGAGTATCTTTTTTTAAAAAATATATTTTATTGATTCTTCTACAGAGAGGAAGGGAGAGAGACAGAGAGTCAGAAACATCAATCAGCCGCCTGTGCCCGCAACCCAGGCACATGCCCCTGACCGGAACCAAACCCGAGACCATGCAGTCCGCAGGCCGACGCTCCATTCACCGAGCCAAACCAGTTTCGGCTGAAAATAGAATATCTTTATCACGAATGATTAACTGTCATGACTAGGCATGATAGCCTAGAAAGATTTTCTTTTTAAAAAAATATATTTTATTGATTTTTTACAGAGAGGAAGGGAGAGAGATAGAGAGTTAGAAACATCGATGAGAGAGAAACATCGATCAGCTGCCTCCTGCACATCTCCCACTGGGGATGTGCCCGCAACCCAGGTACACGCCCTTGACTGGAATCGAACCCGGGACCTTTCAGTCCGCAGGCTGACGCTCTATCCACTGAGCCAAACCGGTTTCGGCTGATAGCCTAGAAAGATTTTCAAGAGTAAGGTAGACAGTGAGGAAATTACTCTTATAAATAACGTGGCTCCAAAAGTGAGTTGATGATGGAAATCTCACCAAGAGAGGGACAGAATCATAGGAGTAGATACAAAGAAGAGAGGAAGGCTCTACTCATTGTTCTTGCACAAATGGCTTCCTTTAGGACCTTACATCTGACCATGTGAGTCTGTGTGGAATAATTTCAAGTTGCTCAAAGTACTAAAAATTATTTGTATTAGATCACAGGATATACAACTTCAATATAACAACACTTGTGTTCTCCAAGGTGCTGCAGGCCTGAACCAACGTTGGCTTGCAGTAAAGAGAGACCTGTGAAAGAGGCAGAGGTGCAAAGTCCAAAGAGGTTAAGGTTATTCATGGGCTGGGAATCTAAGTAGAAATGATCATAATTACAACTAAATTGTGTGCAAAGTTTCATCAATTATCACAAACAAGCATAATTCGTTGAGGCATGGGCAACTAACAAAACACTGGGTTTGTTACCTATGAACATAACAAAGGCCTGTCGTGAATTCCTTCCCAGTTACCCTTCCCCAAAGAAAGACCGCCTAGGGTCCACTGTGTCATTCATAAAGTCGAGTTTCTTCTGTGATGCACAAATGATTCTCCCCCTTCAATCCCATTTGAGGCATTGCTTGGGATAAATAATGCAAAGAACATGGAGGGTCAATACTGTGGTAGAACAACAGGACAAATGAAATCACAGTCAAAAGAAAAATGTGAGTGACATCAGCAAGATGGCAGGCTCAGAGAGATGAGCTTCTTCCCCTATCCCAGTGCAAGTAGACAGCTTTCCATGAACAAAAACCCCATAGAAAAATGGAATAAGAGTACTATGAAGACTAAAGTATTACAAACGCAAATAAAGGAGAACTGTACAGAAAGAATGACTAGAAAGACTGGGTGAACAAATACAATTGAAGATACCGACAGTCAAAAACAAGGGTCAGAGCCTACAACAGCCACTGTGCTTCTGCTCTCATTGACCCTAGTGGCCTGTTCTGCAACAAAACCTGAAAATTTGTGTGTTTAGAAACCTCAGAATGCTTTGGCCAGTATGGCTCAATTGGTTGGAGCATCATCCTGAGTACCAAACGGTCGAGGATTCTATTGGCAGTGAAGGCACATATCAGTATGTGGATTCCATTTCCAGTTAGCTTGTGTACAGAAGGCAGCCGATTGATGTTTCTCCCTCACTCTGATGTTTCTCTCTCTCCATCTCTCTTCCTCTCTATCCGAAAGCAATAATAAATATATAAATAACAATTTCAAGGTAGCCTAACCCAAAACTTAAGGCAAAACAGTCTAGTGACAAAGTAAATAAAAAGACAACCTATCAAAATCATGTATAAAATTCACAAAATACAATTCTAAGAGGAAATTTTGTAGGCAAATCTGAGTACATTATGAAAAAGATCTCAAAAAACCTAACTTTCCATCTCAGGAATCTATAAACAAAACAGAAAATAAACCGAAAGGTTGCAAAGAAATGACACAAGAAATATTTGAACAAGCATCAATTAAAGGGAGATTAGACAAAATAAACAAAATACCTAACAGATACTTTTCTCAAATACAAAAATTGGTAAACTTTGATCTAGACTAAAGTAAAAAACAAAAACAAACAAAAAAACAAAGAAAAACAAGCCTCAAGGAAATGAAGAAAGAAATGAAACATAAGACGTTATACCCCAACTATGAACCCCATAACATCATAAGAGAGGTTGATGTTACGAAATGAGAATACTGAACTTACAAGCAACCGCTTCCTCTGATGTCCTGAACCAGAAGGTCCTAGGGTGGAGGGGTGGATGAAGACATATATGAGGAGAAACTGGACTGCCTGGCATCAGGGCAGGAACTAAGGGGCGGCTTTCTCCCAGACAGAGGTGCTCGCAGAGGTCATTATACCTACATTGGGACATCACAGATCGTAGGTCTGATTGACAAACATTTCAGTTTGCTTCACTCTGGAGATTCCTTGAGACCTCACTTTATATCCAGTGAAAAACCCCACACAAGCTACGTGCAGCACCTTTTCTATATGAATGGCCTGTCTTGTGGGGCTAAATTATGTAAGGTTGTATGTTTGTTTGTTTATCTCCTCCAGTCGTCCCGCGTGGTTAAGGATCTGGAAGAGGGCTGCACACAAATGAAAGAGACGAGACAAGTAATAATTTGGAAATATTGGGGGGCCAGGTGGGCAAGTTCAACTCAAGGGGAAGGACTTCCACTGGTGCTCAGGCCTCACCAACCTTAAATTGGTTTGGGATACACCCATAGCCTTTAGGCAGGCAATTTCCAGTAACAGGGAGACTAGCCCATTAGCAAGGAATTACCATTGTCTGGACTAACAGTGGGTGCACAGCCCTGACCTTTGCCAGGGCTTCAAGGGTCACCAGCCTTCCTGGTTCCTTGTCCACACCCCTCTGCTAGTGAAGACAATAGGTGGCTTCCCACACTAAATCCTGTCAAAAAAGTTGCAGTTAGGTCTGGAAGCCCCAAACCTATCAATTAAAGGCCCAAGATGCGGCAACAGCACTAGCCTCCCTTTATTCAAGGTTGGGCCTCATCAGAGCATTTCCAAACCCGATACAAAGAGGAGAATCTACAAATCTCTCTGTAAATCCAGATGTGTGTCCCCAGACATCGGCTGACTTTACACCTCCTTGGAGACCCAAGAGCCAGTGTACCCAGTGGTCAGTGTCATACCATAGCAGTTTACAACTCTTCACATCCATAAGCCACACACTCAAGGGGCAGACTCACTGAGGACCAAAGCCCAACTGAAGCAAATCCCATAACATAGGGGTGTCTTCTGCACAGAAGCTGGCCCACTGTAGTAGAAGTGAGCCCTATCGACGCTAAAATCCTCAACATTATTCTGGCAAATCAGATCCAGCATTTCATTAGAAAGATCATACACCATAACCAAGTGAGATTTAATTTGTGGATGAAAGGATAGTAATGTATCTGTAAACCAATAAATATGGTACATTATATAAACAAAATAAGAGACAAAAATCACAATCATATCAATTGATGCAGAAAAAGCATTTGACAAAATCCAACACCCTTTCTTGAGAAAAACTCTGAGCAAAGTGAGAGTATGGGGATCATACCTCAAGATAATAAAAGCCTTATGTGACAAACCTACAGCCAGTATCACACTCAATGGGCAAAAATTAAAACCTCTTTCCCTAAGAACAGGAACAAGAGAGGGATGCCCACTTGTACCACTCCTGTTTGATCTAAGACTGGAAGTGCTAGCCATAGAGATCAGGCAAGAAGAAGAAATGAAAGGCATCCAAATTGGAAAAGAAGAAGTAAAACGGTCATTATTAGCAGATGACATAATATTGTACATGGAAAACACTAAAGTCTCCGTGAAAAACTACTAAATGTAATAAATGCATTCAGCAATGTAGCAGGATACAAAATTAACACCCGGAAAACTATGGTTTCTTTATACACCAATAATCAACTCACAGAAACAGAAACAAAAAAACAATCCTATCTACCACTGCAATAAAATTATTAGGATACATAGGAATAGACTTAGGTAAGGAGGTTAAAGACCTGTACTGAGAAAACTACAAGAAGTTGAAAAAAGAGATAGAAGAAGATATAAACAAATGAAAGAATATACCGTGTTCACGGATTGGTAGAATCCACATAATTAAAATGTCCATATTACCCAAACAAATCTATAGACTCAATGCAATACCCATTAAGATACCAAGGGCATATTTCACAGACCTACAATAAACTCTTCAAAAATTCATATGGAATTAAAAAAAAAACCCAAATAGGCACAGCAATCTTGAGAAAGAACAAAGTTGGAGGAATCACAAGATCAGATACCAAGCAATAGCACAAAAATGCCTGGTCCTGGCACAACAACAGACACAGAGAAGAATGCAACAGAACTGAGAACACAGAAATCAACCCAAGCCCTTATGCTCAATATTTGACAAAGGAGGGAAATAGCATACCATGGAGTCAAGACAGTCCCTTCGATAAATGGTGGTGGGAAAATTGGACAGATACATGCATAAAATGGAACTAGACCACCAACTTATACGATACACAAAAATAGACTAAAAATGGGAAAAGGACTTAAACCTAAGAGGGGAAACCAAAACATTTTAGAAGGATCCACAGGCAGAAAAATATCAGACATATGTCCTAGCAATATCTTTACAAGTACAGCTCTGAGGGCAATGGAAAGAAAGAAAAAATAAACAGATGGCACTACATCAAAATAAAAAGCTTCTGCAAAGCAAATGAAACCACCAACAAAAAACAAGAAAGCCCAGGAGCACATATTTGCCAATGTTATCTCTGGTAAGGGTTTAACCTTCAAAATTTACAGGGAACTCATACATCTTCACAAAAAGAAGAT